ACTTGTACTGAAGGACATCTGTGTACAAATGCTTCACTGGATAAGACTTAACATATAGGACAGAATGCATGAAATCTGATGGGGGAGGGCTAGGGGTGTTCAGATGAGAGAGAGGCTCTAAATATGATTAAGATATATTGTATGAAATGCACAAAACTCAATAAAAGTACATTAAAAATTCTTGTAAGTTACAAAATCTGTCATGATGAATTTTCCTGATAATAAAATTTGAACAACTTTCTGTATTAATCATCTTTGTATTGTCTTTGAGAAGTATATAAGATGATCGATCATCTTTTCATTTATTGCCTGCTTTTTTATTGGCGTGAATGATGTGATTATTATCTATGCATCCATGTACATGTAGGTACTTACACTTGTCTACGTGTGTATGTGGGTGAATATATTATGATTATCTATCATTTGTTTATTAAATAAATTTCAAGTACCTTTCCTGGTTTCGGTATTTGGGTGTTTGGCCATATGATAGTGTTTTTTATATTTTTAATAATATCTAATTTATAATTTTTCATTTGTTATTTAGCTTTGAAGCCTATATGAGGCACATGTGCTTGCTCTATTAAGATAATTATGTTTTCTTTTCACTCTTCATATCATTTCTTTCTACCACTACTCCCAGGAAGCCTCCCCCCACCCACCCATGGCCATTTATCTGTTTTTCGACCTCTCTGGATTTTTCCAATTGAAGCATGCATATCTAGGATTTGAAAGCTAGCATCCAGCTATGAGAAAGATTCCATGAAATATTGCCCTTCTGGGTCTGGGTTCCCCACTAAGGATGGTTGTTTCCAGCTGATCATTAGAGTAGGTAGGGTTAAATGGGGGTGGGTGGGAAGAATGGGAGTGCATATAAGAAGATAGTGTATGGGGGTGGGATAAACACCTTTAGAAAAATTCATATGAAAAACTATCACTATAAAAAATCTTAAAGTCTATACATATACATTATAAAAAGAAATTAAAAGGAGTTATCTTAAACAGGGGACAATATCCATTCTAGATAACATAAGCTAACAAAATAAAACCTCAGTGTCAGGACTTGACTGTCCTTTATAGAAGCTATTGACCAGGAGTCTCATAGAGCATCAAACAATACTGGCCATTTCCTCGCTCTGAATTATTCACCATAACTTGATGGTAAATCCCTATTGCTGAAGATAATACATACATGAGCTGTACAACAATCAAGCTGTTGTTGACTTCGGAGTATCATCTTTACTGGCTAGCTTTCATAGTGCTTTGCATGCTACCAGAAGGAAAAAGAAATCATCAACCTTTCCCAGCTGCAACTCATGTGAACTACAACAGGCCTGGCAAGATATGTCCACCAGCACAATAGTGACACAAATATAGAAGTAAACAATCACTGTTTAATTTGATTTAAGGTCCTCTTCACAGGACAGAGCCCGTACCTCACACTGACATCAGGTTTAAGAACCTGACATTAGACAGACACAGGGAATAGGGGACAACCTAATGCTGACTTTCTACTAACTAGTTACATCATTAAACTGATTCCAAAAGACTCCTTGATATCCTCATAGATGAATCATTTGTCAACCCTCACCAAAGAAATTTCCTAATGCACAGTGATGATTAACACAGAAACCACTACTGTACATTGGGCACAGAACAAGAAGCTACAGGGTGCTTATGCCTAAATATGACATCTATATCAAACTTCTGTCTCTCAAGGTTCAGGGGTCATTGAGGAAGAGGGGGACAGAAAGATTGTAAAAGTCAGAGGTGGTGGATATCTTCAAGGAAATAGAGTTTTCCAGACCATTGGTCAATTACTCATATGAACTCACAGCAATGGTGGCAGCATGCACAAGTCCCAGGCAAGCTCAAACCAGAAAAAAATCCCTACACTGACATACAGAAGTAGGTAAGGAACTCCAATCCAACCTGAGGAACTTTTGGCAACAGATGGCTGCTGGAAGGCGGAAAGAGAATGTCTTTCAAGAAGGGATTCTTGACAGGTTAGCCAGGCTCCAGTGAATGGCTCCTGTGAATGGACTCACACTGGAAGACATTTGGGGATACAAATTAGACTCTACAGGCCTTATTATATAAAATTAGAGTACATTAAATTGGGCAGGAGACAGTAAGGGGAGGAGCAGATAGGACATGGAGCTCTAGATGCCATCAAATTATATTGTATGAAAATTGCAAATAGTCAATAAAAATTTAAAAACAACATAATGACATTTTAATTTTTCCTAATCAATTTATAGTTTATCATGCATACGTAAATCTTAAACATGTATTTATAGGAAAGGACTATAGATGTGTTTCCCTCACCATAGAAATATACAATGATCCATCACAATTTACTAACAAGTTTCCTCAAGCTTATCTTTTACACATAATTTTATGTATGAGTCTGCTTTGAATTTCTATTTACCATTAGTCTATATTTCATTCTTGTATGAACACCAAAATTTTGTAATTAATATAGCTTAGTACATAATTGATTATATAGTAATAGAATTTGCTGAGTTTCTTCAATATTGCCTTGTCGATTATTCACCTCATTCATTTCCATATTCTTTTCCAAGCAACTGTGTGATTTTTAAAATTAAAAAGGGAATAAGCTGTACTAAGATTTCACTTTATTAAATCAATTGTTCAGTGGTCAGATTACAAAAAAATCTACTTTTATTTGGAATTTAATTTATACTTTTGTTTCCAATGTAGAAATCGTACACAATTTTTGTTAAAGTTCTTGTATATATTTGATCTGTATTGAGAATTTAAAGATTATTTTTGTTCCTGGTATACAAAAATGAAAAAGATTTAAGTTTTAACATCTTTCCCAAACCTTTATTCAATATCATTTGTCAATTTTAGCAATTTATGTGAATATTTTTTCATATATGTCTATGATTGCCAGTTTTTATTTTTAATTTTTTTCTTCAACCAGTTTAATTTTCTTTGTACTAATCTAATACAATAATAAATTAAAATAATCAGTTTAGTACTTGTCTTTCTCTCAGCTTCAGAAGAGAAAATTTTCAAGGTTTTACCATTAATTATGTTTGTATATCTAAGTATAAATTTTTGATATACTAATAAATTTTCTTTAATTCCTAGTTAGATGACTGTATCATTTCTGCACATTAAGATCACTTTACCACTTTCTATAGAAAGGAGTTGAATGACATTAGCTTTTTTTTTTTTTTTGTCTTTTTGAAACAGGGTCTCCCAGTAGCCCCAGCTGGCCTGGAACTCACTATGTAGACCAGGTTGGCCTCGAACTCACAGAGATCCGTCTGCCTCTGCCTCCCAAGTGCTGGGACTAAAGGCATGTGTCACCATGCCTGGCGACATTAGCTTTCAAAACAAATATAAGCACAAAATTTCGTTATTACCGTGAAGTTCAGTTTGATGTTGTAGGTTCTTATATATCCTCTCATACTCAATTTACACACATTTGGGGGTATATTTTATTCCTATTCATGAAAAAATTAACCTATAACAACTCTTTCTGATATTGCTGTTGTCAGGTTTCAGGTCAGTTTCTGCTGCCCTCATAGAGGAAACTGGATGAAGATTCCTCTGTGCTAGTCAAGATTTGGAGTAAGACTGATCATATTTCTTGCTTATACTTTTGATAAAGACATCTGAGCTTGAGATATTCTTTGGGAAAATGTTTTATTTAATAATAAATTGACTTTTTTAAGTTTAAGAGAAATTTTATTGTTTCAGGAATTTAGTATATCAAAAATTTATACTTAGATATACAAACATAATTTTGGTTATATTCACACACCCCATCTGTACCCTCACACTACTATCCCCCAAACACCTCACCTGCAACTTCATGTCTTCTATCATCAAATTAAAAACAAAACAAAACAGAAAATATCATCCATTTTATATATCACCTCTGATCTGCATGCTGGAGAAATCATATTTCATTTGGGTGTCAGTGATCTATAATTCCTACACAAGGATATGCCAAAGTAAGGGCCCACTCCCTCCTTTGTAAGTGGTTTTGGGTCAGAAAACACCCAGGTTCCTTGGAATGGGATTTTCACTGTTAATTTCTTTTTCCTTACACTGCTTTGGAACAGTAAGCTGGGATTTCTTTTTTCTCAGCTCTCAAAAATGTTTATCAAAGTTAAACATTTGCAGCCCTTTCATGCAGGTTACATTTTCTCTGTTTCTCAGTCAGCTCAATGACCCCACTATGAACAAAGGCATTCTCCAACAGGCAGGTTCCCCATAGGGTTTTACTATGGGTAAAAGGAGAAGCTAAATCCTTACAGAAGAGAGCAATTAGCTCACAGGTCTCCAATGCAAGATTCTCTGAGTGGCAGTTGGGAAGTTTCACAGCTTCACAGGACAGCTTTACATCAGTGATCTCTAAGTTATTTTCTGAAATCTGTAGACTTCCTACTGTTGCTGAGGACTGCAGTCAGTTCTTGACAGCAAGTGTGTGATGATGATGGTTGGCTGACCATGGGTGCCACCGGGGTTCCTGGGTGGATGGCCAGGCCTGTGTGGCTCTGCTGGTGTGGCTCCACCCTCTGCCAGTGCTCATGGGAGTCGTGCCAGCATGGCTCCACCATCGTGGCTGTCTTGGTTATTTTCCCTCCTACTTGCCAAGTCCTGAGTTACGAATTTGGATATTAATTTAGAAGCATCAAGATTCTTAATAAAATTAAAAGGTCTGGAGCCATGTTTTAAGTCCTTGTGTTAAAAGTTTCCCTAGCCAACCGTGACTGCTCTAACATCTTGGCGTCTCAATTTCTTTCTTTCCTACTACCAAGACCTGAGTTCAGAATTTTGAGCTCAACAAAGTGCCTATGTTCAGGCAAATATTCATCTTGTATGATAAAGTTCTATACATGGTCCATCTCATACATTCAGTCTCTTGGGAGTTGGGAGGCCCCAGCCTCTGAGGTCAGCTGTGTGGGATGTGCATCATTCCTAAGGTGTCTTTTCTCACAACACCAGCACTTGAACTGTCATATCTTATTTCTTCTATGTATCAAAACCCATACTGAGAAATGAATTCTGGTTTGCAAAAGAGGATTTATTTTTGCACCTGCCTTTCATGTCTTTGTCCACCATTTGAACACACACAGGAAGTATTTATAAATTCATTTCATTAAGCAAAATTGTTTCAGCTTTCTGTCAGTTTTGTAAGATGTGCTTAGTGTGGAGTTCTTCCATTTTACCCAAACCTTCCACTTGCTTGATTTTATTTCATGTTCATATTTCTTGTAATAATAGTAATAATTTTCACTTTTAAAAATCTAAACATTTAAATGTAAATCACATGAAAATGTGTCTATCCTACAAATTCTTTTTCTTGTTGTTGTTGTTGCTGTTGTTTGAGATAGGGTTGTTGTTGCTTTTTTAGTTTGCTTAGATAGGATCTCTCTCTCTCTCTGTCTCTCTGTCTCTCTGTCTCTCTGTCTCTCTCTCTCTCTCTCTCTCTCTCTCTCTTTCTTCCCAACTGGCCTAGGACTCACTATATAAACCAGGCTGGCAGTGATCTCACAGAGCTCCATCTGCCTCTGCCTTTAAGTGCTGGGATTAAAGGCCTGTGCCACAGTGCTCCACTTGCATCTTACAAATTTTGAAGGACCGTATTTAGTATAATTTAATGAAAAATGTACGTTATTTAATTTGGTTTTTAACATGCTTCCTCTTTGAAGAAATGAACATGTGGGTTCAGCAATAATGATTTTCATTAAAGAACAAATAGCACCTGAAAAAGCCAGAGTTAAGCTCAGCTGTACTTTATCTTAAGATATTGTTTCAGAAGGGCCACCTTCATGCTGCAAAATGAGATGTGCCCTTGCTGTCACCTTACAGTGGAAACAATTAGCATGCATGTAGTGAGCAACAAAATGTACATGTGACCAATTCACCAGCTTCAGACTTTGAGCTGATGCAATTTTTATTTGCCAAATAGAGGAAGAATTAGAGACCAGGTATATATATATCTAGGCAAGGTTTATCTGAGAACATTTGGTCTTTGCCCAAGCTTTATCTACATGGCACATGGTATTAAAAGTACCAGACTGGTGGAATTAACAGATGTTTAAAAGCCGTACTTTGAGGCCTATACTAATTTGGTCAGAGAAGCATAAAGGACAGTTTTTGCTCCTTTCCCTCCTAGGTTGACTAAGTTCCAGGGGGCTATGAGCATCTCTCAAAATGTACTGTAACTGTAGTGAGTAACCTTCCTCTTGATCAAGGAGGCTGTGGAAACCCCACCAGATGGACTTGAACCAGAGTCCAGTCTACAAAGAGGAGGATCAACACAGAGGAATCATTTCCTCCATGCTTCCAAGTGAAGCCAACCACGGTCGAGCAGGACCTTTGACTTATCTTCACATAGGTAGAACTGGTAAAAGAAAGGAGCCAGGGGATCCTCCCAAGCCCATGTGACCTCTGAGGAACAGATCCTCAGATGACTTTAAGAGTAAAAATAAATTGGTTTATCGGGGCCAATTGGAGGGTCTTAAACACCCAAAGAAAAGTATAACGAAAGATTAAAGGGGTCAATATAATTTTTTAAGAGTCCATATGTACAGCTGAAGGCTACATAACAAGAAACAATGCCAGGCAGGAGATACCTTCCTTTGATTTATTGGCCAGGGTGGCCCAAAAGACACCCATACAGTAACCCAGCATAGAACTGGGAAAATGAACAGCAGATCCCAATCTTGTCTAAAGGCATATTGACAACTGATTACTGCTAGATGAGGAACAGGTAATCTTCCTAAAACAAGGATCTCTAGATAGTCTGACTAGATTCAGTGGATGGACAAGCACTGGGGACTGGCTGGGGGTGCCAACAACACAGTGGACAGTAACAGGGATGACAGAGTATATGGGCTCCAGGGTAGGGGGGTAGGCTATGGGAAGGTGCTATTTGGGAAGTGGGTATATAGATGAATAAAATTGTTTCCGATGTTCTGTATGATATACACACAAAAAATTCAACAAATAATCACATGTTTGAGGAGGAAGCATTAAAAAAAGAAAGAAAGAAAGAAAGAAAGAAAGAAAGAAAGAAAGAAAGAAAGATAGAAAAAGAATTATAGACCAGAACTCAGCTTTGGTTTCTAGGCATCTCATCCCATCTGCAAGCCTCATCTGACACTGCCTCCTTATCTTAGTTATTGTCAGTCATTGTCTGAATCATAGTAAATCCATTTTCCAGTTCCTTTCACATCTGGAAAAAAGTGTCCTATGGGCAAGTGGGAGAATTGAAACAGAGAAAATCTTAGGACATCACTTTGTGACTGTACAATCCAGTAGCTCCAGGAACCAAGTTTAAATTTCCTTCAAGGGTACCCAGCTATTATAAATTATTATTGGTTAAAATATTAACTAAATACCAAGTTTTGAGGACACCAAGTTACATCAAGTTCATTTTCTGCCAGTTTACTGTTTACTAATTATTTCACATGACTCTCATTTCTCCTTCTGGCCACTTGTTCCTTGCATGCTGCTTGGTTATTAAAGTTCTTTCAACCTCAGAGAAGTCACTCTTCTTCTGTTGATAGCAGCCAAGGATATTCCTGTTAATAACAGGAAGACTCAGCATGTGCTGACAGGTTACCAGAACCTTCAGGAATTCTTATTCCTTCAGCACAAAACAAGTTTACATGATCTACCTAGCATATGCTAGGTATGCTCAAAAATACAACAAAAACAAAAACACAAAGGAAGAAAAGTTTTGAAAGGGGCACAAACTCAGGCATGCCTCAAGGAGGTAGGTATTTACAAAGGCCAGGTTTAAGCCACACCTTTGTTGCTCCTGGCCTCATTCAGCTTCCACAGGTGTGCTTAGTTCAAAGCTTTTGCACAGTGAAATTCTCAGGTTGTAAGAACATTCTGACATGAATAATGCTGAGATACTGTGGGATGCAGTTGCCAAAAAACAAAGCTGTGCAAACCAGCTTTTAAGACTCTCACGCAGATCCTATCATGAGTAAGCAAAACTCAAGGAAATAAAGAGGTCTAATTTCATGTTTCATTGCTTATTACAGACAAAAGAATGTCTAGGTTTTGAAGACCAATTGGATATTTCCTTTTCCAAAGCGAATGTAAACTTAAAAAATATGTCAATACAAACACATTTTTAAACTTAATTTATAGCTGTGTCTCATATTGTACTGATATCAAAACATTATGCAGAAATAGTCATAGCACCAGAATATACCTCAAAAGCGTTTTTGTTAACATTCTGAAATTTAAATAAAAAATCGATCTTCCTCTAATTTTCTTTATTCTAAAATATAAGTATAAATTTCCTCCTTCTTATCACTACAAATATATCTTAAAAATCCCAATAATTTTGCCATATTTCCAAGGTAAATTTTAATTAAAACTAACATGACAGTATTATAAGCAATTAGTTCAAAAGTCACTCGAGATAAATTGTTTCAATGGAAGTTAAAATTTTCTTAGGTATAATTTCCAAAAGTCTGAGTGACAAATATGAACAGCATGAATTATACAGAAGCATTTAGAACCAGAACCAGATTTCCAATTCTGTCAGAATATCACTCCAGGAGGGAAAAAAAAAAAAAAAACCTCTAAAACTGCTTGTTTGTTTGTGCGTGCTTTCTTCTTCCTCAAAAATGTGGTCGATGGCACCGTTTCACCAGCTCACTGCCACCGAGGTAAAGAACGTAAAGAATCACCACAGGTGCTTCTCCAACATGGAGGCTTGCTTCCTTTGTGAAAGGTGCCACAGAAACTCTGCCGAGGTTTTCCATAGAAGTGAAAACAAGCCTGCATGGCATATTTTGAAGCAACCTTAAGCAGAATTTATGTGGAGAAAAATTCTAAGAGCAAGAAGAAAATGAACAGATTTTAGAGGATTTAGAGGGTTTGCTCTTTTCTACTAAGAATATAAATTGTCAAACAAGTGAGAAGTATGAGAAAACCAAAAATGAAGATTAAAAAGTGAAGGAGTTTATACTCCATCCAGCCTGGCTGCAGGGGCCATTTTGGAAGAGGGGATGGAAAGATTGTAAGAGCCAGGGAGAAGTGCACGACCACCTGGAAATAGAGTCCTACAGGTGTCTGGGCCCTTGCTCATATGAACCTACAGCAATGATGTCAGCATGCACAATACCCATGCAAACTCAAGCAGAAAAAAACCCAGCATAGAAATGTGGAAATGGGCAGCAGGCCCCAATCTTAGTGGAAGAACTATTGGCAGGTGATTGCTCTTGGGTGTGGAAGAGTTGATCTTCCTCAAGTGAGGGACTCCAGATGAGCTGAGTAGACCTCAGTGCATGAACTTGTGCTAAGGGACATCTGGGGACACTAACTTGACATGATAGGCCTTAAATGACAGAATACATGAAATACAGTGGAGGGGCTTTTGGAGGGTGCCAATGAGGAAGGGAGTGTAAAGATGATTAAGATGCTTTATATGAAATACACAAAAACTCAAAAATTAAAAACACAAAAAGAAAAGGGGGGAAAAGTGTGGAAAAAAGCAGCAACCTATAGTGGCTTCTGTTGACAATCTACAAGCTAAAAAGGACCAGTCAAGAAGATTGTGAGTTCAAGACCAGAATGGTCTTTAACTTGAAAAGTTAAAGAACAGTGTAGCGAAGATGGCTGATAGGTATAAGGATGTAAATCAGCTGCTTGTGTGTTGAAAATGTAATGCTTTGAAATGGGGCAAATTGGTACCAAATTAAAAAATAGTGAATTATTAGCTGTTTCTTACTCCCCATTTCCTTACTGAATTAATAAATTTATTTTTCTGACAGATGAGACAGTAGGGATGGAAAGAATAATTTATTTTAGTCTTTTCATGTTAATATGTGCCTAAGTAAAATGTACAGGGTGTAAAGTCACAAAAAGGAACGTTTAATGTCCTTGGCACAAAAATGGGAACTCTGAGTTCACATTACAAAGAAATATTGGTTCACAGTGATGAGGACTTACAAGATAGATCAAGTACAACAATTTATTGAGTTAACTATTTCTAAGCAACATTTTTGTTTGGAATTAAATGAGAATTATTAAGGAGATAGGATTAGAAAATGTGGGACTGGAGAGATAGCTCAATGGTTGGGAGCACTGGCTTCTCTTGCTTAGGACCCAGGT